GTGCTGGCACAGCAGGCCTGGGATTTTCATGTTTAGCTCGTTAATTTTGCTTTTCTTCTTTTAATCATTTAAAGCTATTAATATTCCTATAAGTATTATGTTAGCTTTACCTATCAAGCATGGGTGTTTTTTCATTATTTAGATGTAATATATTTTCTCATCTTTATTGTTTTAGGCTGTATGTTTTGTTTTTTATTTTGAATTTTTTGATACAGAGTCTTGCTAAGTACTTCAGGCTGGCTTTAAACTCAGTATGTAGCCCAGGCTGGCCTCAAACTCAGAGCAATCTTCTTGCCTTAGCCACTTGGATGCTGGCTTTAAAGGTGTATGCCACCAAGCTGGCAGTAATTCTTCTTTTTGATCTGAAAGTTATATGAAAATATTCTTTTAAATTTGTGTGCAGGGCTGGGGAGGTAGCTCAGTGGCATAAGCACCTGTCTTACAAGCATAAGGTTCTGAGTTTGATCCATGGGGTAGGGGGTGATTCTGTGCATATGAGATTTCACCAGGTTTCTTTTTGTTAGTTTCTTAACTTCATTCCCTTGTGATTGGAGAAATGGTCTATATAATTGATTCTCTGGGACTTTTGAGATTTGATGTAAATCCTAATTTTGTATGTGTGGAAACTTTTAATAAAGGACCTATAGGTGCTTGAAAATAAACATGAATGTACATTCCTATAACAGGGGCAAGTAACTCATGTAGTTTTTTTTTTTTTTTTTTTTTTTTTAGTCTGCTTTATCTATTGATTCCTTGAAGTTTATAAGGTCTGTTTGTGTTTTTTCCTCTTAGTACAAGCTCTTTTATTGTATTCTATTCTACATACTAGTTTAATGTCTTTACATGAATAAACTTAACTGTATATTGGTCATTTTTTCCTCGGAGACTTATTACTTGGACTTCATTTTTTTTGAGAATGGATGCATTTTGTTACTCCATACATGTGTTTTTACCTTCTTGATGTGTAGTAATGAATTTTACCTTGAAATCTTTTTTTGTTTGGTTGATATAGTGGGACAAGACTTTTTTCTAGTTAGTACTTGGTTGATTACATTCTCAGCCTATGTTGTATATTTTTTTTTTCTTGAAATGTGTTTCAGAAACACTGGGAAGACTGAATTTTTATTAGTTTTACTTATAAATCAATAGTGTAGTGTGGTGGTTAAAACAAAACTTAGGGCCATATTGATTGGGGTTGGTTTGTTGTCTGGGGTGCTGTATCTGATAATTAGAGTTTAAAATTAGGGGTGGGAGGCATTTCGACTTTTTATTACTTAGACTTCAGTCATTTCTCATGTTTTATACCACGGTCATAAATTCTGTCCTTCCACATATGAGGTAACTAATTGGTTCTGATTTTTTCAGATGTTGTCCATTTTAGAATACCCTGTCACATTCATTCCATTCAGTGCTTCCTTAATCAATTTGTACTACAGTATCTACATTTTCTTTCTTGAAAATATACTGAATTATAAGGCATAATGAAAACACTGTTTACCTTATTATTCTGTTTCAAGTTTACCATGAGTTAGTAAAGACTGTACAGTGCCTGTAGCTCAGTAAATAGAATTGTTCTGCTTGCTGTTATATTTTAGCATTTTGGCTACCTTGAAACTGTCCTATCTGTATTTGTTACTATTAATATTACTATCATATTTCTTATTTTGTAATTCAAGTTTTAAAAAAATTTCTGTGTTTTTGTTATCTGGTGATTTGATAGAAACAATTTTGAAACATTTCAGTTTAGCATGTGTAAAGAAATAATCAAATTTAAAGGAATTTAAAAATACTTTCTCAAGGAGTGTGTTCATTATTAAGCTATTTGATAACTTAAGACATAAAATTTTTATATTTGAGGGGTACAGATTGAGCCTGTAGTCCAAAAATCCAAAATCTGAAATGTCCTGAAATCAGATTTTTTTTTTAGAGCTAACATGCTATTAGTTTTGGCTTGGTAGCCTAGAATTTTAGAGTGAATGACTTCAGTTTTAGCTTTTTCCTGGTCTGTTGGAGTCTAGTTCAGGAGTTTAGACCAAAACAGGCAATTTCTACATTACAGGTGTAAGTACAAATTATAGAAACTATGTATTTAATCTTCAGGAAAAGCAATAACTCAAATTTATAGGTCCAAATCCAACTGTTTCTATTTCTTTCATTTATAGTTCATATCTTTGATATGGAGGTCTGGTTTTTTTTAAAGACAAAAATCTTTTACAATTATCCTCAAAGAAAAAATATAGATGTTAAAGTGAATCAGAAGAATTACATGTGGAAAATTCCAAAATTGTCATGATGTCATGGCTTGTATCAGAACACAGGCCCACTAAAAATATTATGTAAAATTACCTCAGTCTGTGCATGAGGTGTGTATGAAATGTAAATGAATTTTGTGGTTAGACTTTAATACCATCCCCAGGATATCTCCTTATATATATGTAAATATTTTAAAATCTGAAAAAAGCCCAAAATTCCATATTCTTCTGTTTCAAGCATTTCAGACGAGATCAGGTGCGTTCGGGGTGGTATGGCTGTAGACTGTTTCAAGCATTTCAGATAAGGATATTTACTCTGTACTTTCCCATAGATGATGTACTGAAGTTTGAATTTCCTATGGAGAGATTAATATTTCTATGAAGTGAAATTTTTGTCTAAGTGGGAACCTCTCTGTGTGTTAAACTTATGTCCTAAAGAACATTATTAGTGGTAATAGTTGCACAACAATGTAAATGACTTAAATGCCTTTGAACTATAAGCTTCAAAGTGGTTAATGTGTTGTTTATGCCGTGTATCTTATTGCATTTTAACAAAAGAACGTTAGTGATTGTATAAATGTTTCACATTGAAGGTGAGAGTATTCATTAATGTGATATGTGAATCTTAAAGGCTGTATATAATGAGCAGAACATATTAGTGTCAATATATCGATTTATGTTTTCTTTTCTCAACCATGTGTGTCTTTTTATTTATTTTCTAGTGTGGAATTATTATTATTACTATTTTTTGAACAGGAAGGAAAAGCTGATGAGATGTTCTCAATGCCGAGTTGCCAAATACTGTAGTGCTAAGTGTCAGGTAAGACTGCTCAGCTGTGTATCAATGAAATCTTCAAATTCTTGCCTTATAAATTTGTCCTTCATTGAATGCGCTATTTTGTTTCTCTTTGAACAATCTTTCACTTATTTTTACCTGATAGTTTCTCTTTAGTTTTAAATTAATATATGTACAGTTTGAGTATCCTATATTCCAAATGCTCATAATCACAATTTTTCAGAGTTTATATTTTTCAGATTTTAAAATATCGGCAGAGATTTTACTAGTTATGTATTTCAAACCCAAACATCAAATTTTTTTTAGAGTTTAAAGCATTTTAAACTTTAGCTTTTGGAGTACTATTGCTCAACCTGTATACACTAAAAATTACAAATCTATGTATGTATATCTGCTGTGTGAAAGTAAACATCTGCTTCTTTCCATCCTTTGTCCCCTGTACCTTAATACCATTTTTCCAGAGGTATACGTTCTTAATTTTCTTGTGTATCTTTGTAACATTTTCTTGTACAAACATGTTAAGTAACTGTATGCTTTGTTTAAATTACTTTAGTTCAATTTCTTGTATACTTTTTGTCTTTCGTAATCTATTCAGAGGAACATTTGCATCATTCCATGTATTCTTCTGTTATATGGATTGCACTGTAATCATAACTTCCAGTATTTGTTATTGTTGATAATGTACACAGAATATTTCTACATAGTTTTACATCATTTGTTAATTAATTGTAGGTTCAATCTTGTTTGTATTACTTAGTAAAGGATATATACATTTGAATTTGTAAATATAATGCCAGATTGCCTTCCAAGAGTTTAAGTTAATTTGTAGTGAATACTGTTGATGTCTTTTATGTTCTTTAAGGGATGTATAATTAACATTCCACATGACCTTTTCTTCAAATCTTATGATTAATCATTTAATAAGAAATGTAATTATGCTCTAATGAATTATATCATGTTAAGTTTAATTGGATATTTTGTGTCTGTGTCACTTGCCTTCTTCCCTCCACCCATCCTTCTTGTTTTCCTATTTTTGTGCATGTGTGTGTGTGTGTGTGTGTGTATTGTGTGTGCCTGTGTGTGTATATGTGTCTGTTCATACCATAGTAGAGTTTTTCTTTTATTTCTTTAAATCTAGGTTATGCAAATCTGAAGGATTCTGTGCTATTTCATTTTCTCCATTGAAATACATTTCTTCAGCATACAAAGAAAATGATTTTAATAGAAAATAAGTCAGGTTCACAAAAATATCAAAGTTTCATGTTTTTGGTATTTATAAATTAACTGACAGAGAAATCACAGACTCGTGGGTCTTCAGTTTTTAATCTAGTGATAGTAAGTGCCCGTATCTACTAGAAATCTATGTGGTAGGCCTGATTTATTCCATTCAATTTTATGAAAAACTTATGAGAAGTGGGTACTATTCCTACGCTCATTTTATCAGTTAGGAAATTGAGGTCAGACGGGCAAATAATTTGTGGAGTTAGGGAAGTGAATCCAGGTGGTCCACCTTTTAGCTTATAAACCTAGATTTTATTCTTGCTCTAACATTCTGAGTAGGTGTAGTTTTTCATGATTCTTTTGGTTCCTGCCTTTTTATTTTACTTGATTGATTGATTGATTGATTGGGTGGGTGGGTGCTGGGGATCTAGGCCAGGTCCTTGAACATGTAATGCAAAGTTCTTTACCACTGAGCTATATATGTACATTTCAGCTATATATCTTAATTTTTAAAATAAAGATATATTCCACCACTAAAGCATGCAAAATAAAAGTGTAAAAAATAGAAATTAAACTTTAACATTCCCAGTAAAAATAAGACAGGAAATTTTAAAATAATTGAACTATTTCCTTCTCAGTTTGTAAACTAAGTAGTCTTTTAAAGATCCCTGTTTTGTACATGATCATTAGAAACAATAGGAATTTAAAAAAGAAACAAAGCCATGTGTTTTACAGAATGAATTCCAGAAATTGCTGTTTTATTGTGATATATGATTTCTCTTATTGAGGTAAAACTGAGCTACATGTTTCCTAGAACTTTGTATTAAGCAGAATGCATATAGAACCAATGAACTATGATTTGACACATATTATTTAGATGATAAGGGGCCAGCATGTGCCTCAGTGGTAGAACATTTGCCTAGCATGCTCAAGGCCCTGGGTTCAGTTACCCAACATCACCCCTCCCACACCCACACACACACACCCACACCCACCCACACACCCTAATATCAATGACCTAAATTAATAAAAGTAGTATCATTACTTTTATTTCCTTCTGTTTTTATGAATATCTTTTCTTCAGTGTTTCTTTCCTCTTTTTTGTTGTATTCAGGGAAAAAAGTCATTATTTAATGAATTTTGGGAGTTTGGTGGGTAGGTGTGTCATTTTGATTCATTATAGTGTATATATTTTTAGTGCAAATATGAGCTGTTT